TAAGAATCAAAAATAGAATAACATGCTTGCAACGTAAGAACAATTGTCAGGAGTGGGGTTCGAACCCACGCTCTCTTTCGAGAACCAGAGCTTAAATCTGGCGCCTTAGACCGCTCGGCCATCCTGACTCCTGAACCAAGAAACACGAGTGAGATGAAAGGATACTTTGTGATTGCTTCCAACAACTACTCTTTTCTTATACCTTTGCTCTTAAAAAATTAAATTAACGAATGAAATTCTAAGAGAATCGTTCTGTTAGTAAATCGCAATTTAAGAATCAAAAATAGAATAACATGCTTGCAACGTAAGAACAATTGTCAGGAGTGGGGTTCGAACCCACGCTCTCTTTCGAGAACCAGAGCTTAAATCTGGCGCCTTAGACCGCTCGGCCATCCTGACTCCTGAACCAAGAAACACGAGTGAGATGAAAGGATACTTTGTGATTGCTTCCAACAACTACTCTTTTCTTATACCTTTGCTCTTAAAAAAAATTAAATTAACGAATGAAATTGAAGAGAATTCTAAGAGAATCGTTCTGTTAGTAAATCGTGCAATTTCGAGAACCAGAGCTTAAATCGAATGACTTGAACCAAGAAAACACGAGTGAGAAAAGGAAGATTGCTTCTACTCTTTTCTTAAAAATAGAATAACATGCTTGCAACGTAAGAACAATGGGGTCACGGAGTCGGCCATCCTGACTCCTGGGGTTCGAACCTTAACCACGCTCTAATTTTTCGAGAACCAGAGCTTAAATCTGGCGCTTTGTGATTGCTTATAGACCGCTCGGCCATCCTTTCGAGAACCAGAGCTTAACTCTTAGACTGAACCAAGAAACACGAGTGAGATGAAAGGATACTTTGTGATTGCTTCCAACAATACTCTTTTCTTATACCTTTGCTCTTAAAAAATTAAATTAACGAATGAAATTCTAAGAGAATCGTTCTGTTAGTAAACAATTTAAGAATCAAAAATAGAATAACATTTGCAACGTAGGAGAATTGTCGTGGGGTTCGAACCCACGCTCTCTTTCGAGAACCAGAGCTTAAATCTGGCGCCTTAGACGCTCGGCCATCCTGACTTGAACCAAAAACACGAGTGAGATTCTTTGTGATTGCTTCCAACAAACTACTTTTTCTTATACCTTTGCTCTTAAAAAAATTAAATTAACGAATGAAATTGAAATCGTTCTGTTGCAATTTAAGAATCAAAAAGTAGAATAAAAAATTAAAAAATAAATTGCTTCCAACAACTAAATTTTAACGAATGAAATTCTAAGAGAATCGTTCTGTTAGTAAATCGCAATTTAAGAATCAAAAATAGAATAACATGCTTGCAACGTAAGAACAATTGTCAGGAGTGGGGTTCGAACCCACGCTCTCTTTCGAGAACCAGAGCTTAAATCTGGCGCCTTAGACCGCTCGGCCATCCTGACTCCTGAACCAAGAAACACGAGTGAGATGAAAGGATACTTTGTGATTGCTTCCAACAACTACTCTTTTCTTATACCTTTGCTCTTAAAAAAAATTAAATTAACGAATGAAATTCTAAGAGAATCGTTCTGTTAGTAAATCGCAATTTAAGAATCAAAAATAGAATAACATGCTTGCAACGTAAGAACAATTGTCAGGAGTGGGGTTCGAACCCACGCTCTCTTTCGAGAACCAGAGCTTAAATCTGGCGCCTTAGACCGCTCGGCCATCCTGACTCCTGAACCAAGAAACACGAGTGAGATGAAAGGATACTTTGTGATTGCTTCCAACAACTACTCTTTTCTTATACCTTTGCTCTTAAAAAATTAAATTAACGAATGAAATTCTAAGAGAATCGTTCTGTTAGTAAATCGCAATTTAAGAATCAAAAATAGAATAACATGCTTGCAACGTAAGAACAATTGTCAGGAGTGGGGTTCGAACCCACGCTCTCTTTCGAGAACCAGAGCTTAAATCTGGCGCCTTAGACCGCTCGGCCATCCTGACTCCTGAACCAAGAAACACGAGTGAGATGAAAGGATACTTTGTGATTGCTTCCAACAACTACTCTTTTCTTATACCTTTGCTCTTAAAAAATTAAATTAACGAATGAAATTCTAAGAGAATCGTTCTGTTAGTAAATCGCAATTTAAGAATCAAAAAAAATAGAATAACATGCTTGCAACGTAAGAACAATTGTCAGGAGTGGGGTTCGAACCCACGCTCTCTTTCGAGAACCAGAGCTTAAATCTGGCGCCTTAGACCGCTCGGCCATCCTGACTCCTGAACCAAGAAACACGAGTGAGATGAAAGGATACTTTGTGATTGCTTCCAACAACTACTCTTTTCTTATACCTTTGCTCTTAAAAAATTAAATTAACGAATGAAATTCTAAGAGAATCGTTCTGTTAGTAAATCGCAATTTAAGAATCAAAAATAGAATAACATGCTTGCAACGTAAGAACAATTGTCAGGAGTGGGGTTCGAACCCACGCTCTCTTTCGAGAACCAGAGCTTAAATCTGGCGCCTTAGACCGCTCGGCCATCCTGACTCCTGAACCAAGAAACACGAGTGAGATGAAAGGATACTTTGTGATTGCTTCCAACAACTACTCTTTTCTTATACCTTTGCTCTTAAAAAATTAAATTAACGAATGAAATTCTAAGAGAATCGTTCTGTTAGTAAATCGCAATTTAAGAATCAAAAATAGAATAACATGCTTGCAACGTAAGAACAATTGTCAGGAGTGGGGTTCGAACCCACGCTCTCTTTCGAGAACCAGAGCTTAAATCTGGCGCCTTAGACCGCTCGGCCATCCTGACTCCTGAACCAAGAAACACGAGTGAGATGAAAGGATACTTTGTGATTGCTTCCAACAACTACTCTTTTCTTATACCTTTGCTCTTAAAAAATTAAATTAACGAATGAAATTCTAAGAGAATCGTTCTGTTAGTAAATCGCAATTTAAGAATCAAAAATAGAATAACATGCTTGCAACGTAAGAACAATTGTCAGGAGTGGGGTTCGAACCCACGCTCTCTTTCGAGAACCAGAGCTTAAATCTGGCGCCTTAGACCGCTCGAAGAGAATCGTTTTCAGTTAGTAAATCGCAATTTAACGGCCTGCAATTGTCGGGAGTGGGGTTCGAACCCAATTTCGGAGCCAGCCCCCGCTCTCTTTCGAGCTCGGCCATCCTGACTCCTGAACCAAGAAACACGAGTGAGATGAAAGGATACTTTGTGATTGCTTCCAACAACTACTCTTTTCTTATACCTTTGCTCTTAAAAAAATTAAATTAACGAATGAAATTCTAAGAGAATCGTTCTGTTAGTAAATCGCAATTTAAGAATCAAAAGTAGAATAACGTGCTTGCAACGTAAGAACAATTGTCAGGAGTGGGGTTCGAACCCACGCTCTCTTTCGAGAACCAGAGCTTAAATCTGGCGCCTTAGACCGCTCGGCCATCCTGACTCCTGAACCAAGAAACACGAGTGAGATGAAAGGATACTTTGTGATTGCTTCCAACAACTACTCTTTTCTTATACCTTTGCTCTTAAAAAAATTAAATTAACGAATGAAATTCTAAGAGAATCGTTCTGTTAGTAAATCGCAATTTAAGAATCAAAAATAGAATAACATGCTTGCAACGTAAGAACAATTGTCAGGAGTGGGGTTCGAACCCACGCTCTCTTTCGAGAACCAGAGCTTAAATCTGGCGCCTTAGACCGCTCGGCCATCCTGACTCCTGAACCAAGAAACACGAGTGAGATGAAAGGATACTTTGTGATTGCTTCCAACAACTACTCTTTTCTTATACCTTTGCTCTTAAAAAATTAAATTAACGAATGAAATTCTAAGAGAATCGTTCTGTTAGTAAATCGCAATTTAAGAATCAAAAATAGAATAACATGCTTGCAACGTAAGAACAATTGTCAGGAGTGGGGTTCGAACCCACGCTCTCTTTCGAGAACCAGAGCTTAAATCTGGCGCCTTAGACCGCTCGGCCATCCTGACTCCTGAACCAAGAAACACGAGTGAGATGAAAGGATACTTTGTGATTGCTTCCAACAACTACTCTTTTCTTATACCTTTGCTCTTAAAAAATTAAATTAACGAATGAAATTCTAAGAGAATCGTTCTGTTAGTAAATCGCAATTTAAGAATCAAAAAATAGAATAACATGCTTGCAACGTAAGAACAATTGTCAGGAGTGGGGTTCGAACCCACGCTCTCTTTCGAGAACCAGAGCTTAAATCTGGCGCCTTAGACCGCTCGGCCATCCTGACTCCTGAACCAAAAACACGAGTGAGATGAAAGGATACTTTGTGATTGCTTCCAACAACTACTGTTAGTAAATCTTTTCTTATACCTTTGCTCTTCGAGAACCAGAGCTTAAAAATTAAACTTCCAACAACGAAAAAAATTCTAAGAGAATCGTTCTGTTAGTAAATCGCAATTTAAGAATCAAAAATAAATAACATGCTTGCAACGTAAGAACAATTGTCAGGAGTGGGGTTCGAACCCACGCTCTCTTTCGAGAACCAGAGCTTAAATCTGGCGCCTTAGACCGCTCGGCCATCCTGACTCCTGAACCAAGAAACACGAGTGAGATGAAAGGATACTTTGTGATTGCTTCCAACAACTACTCTTTTCTTATACTTTTGCTCTTAAAAAAATTAAATTAACGAATGAAATTCTAAGAGAATCGTTCTGTTAGTAAATCGCAATTTAAGAATCAAAAATAGAATAATGCTTGCAACGTAAGAACAATTGTAAGTGGGGTTCGAACCCACGCTCTTTCGAGAACCAGAGCTTAAATCTTCGACCGCTCGGCCATCCTGACTGGACGACACCTGAACCAAAAACACTGAGATGAAAGGATACTTTGTGATTGCTTCCAACAACTACTCTTTTCTTATACCTTGCTCTTAAAAAATTAAATTAACGAATGAAAAAGAGAATCGTTCTGTTAGTAAATCGCAATTTAAGAATCAAAAAATAGAATAACATGCTTGCAACGTAAGAACAATTGTCAGGAGTGGGGTTCGAACCCACGCTCTCTTTCGAGAACCAGAGCTTAAATCTGGCGCCTTACGGCCATCCTGACTCCTGAACCAAGAAACACGAGTGAGATGAAAGGATACTTTGTGATTCCTGAACCTTATACCTTTGCTCTTAAAAATTAAATTAACGAATGAAATTCTAAAGAGATATCGTTCTGTTGATTGCAATTTCCAAAACTGCAACTAAGAACAATTGTCAGAGTGGGGTTTTCTTTAGAACCTTTGACCGCTCGGCCATCCTTGAACCAAAAAAATTGAGATGAAAGGAACTTTGTGATTGCTTCCAAGAACTCTTTTTCTTATACCTTTGCTCTTAAAAAAAAAATTAAATAACGAATGAAATTCTAAAGAGAATCGTTCTGTTAGTAAATCGCAATTTAAGAATCAAAAATAGAATAATATGCTTGCAACGTAAGAACAATTGTCAGGAGTGGGGTTCGAACCCACGCTCTCTTTCGAGAACCAGAGCTTAAATCTGGCGCCTTAGACCGCTCGGCCATCCTGACTCCTGAACCAAGAAACACGAGTGAGATGAAAGGATACTTTGTGATTGCTTCCAACAACTACTCTTTTCTTATACCTTTGCTCTTAAAAAATTAAATTAACGAATGAAATTCTAAGAGAATCGTTCTGTTAGTAAATCGCAATTTAAGAATCAAAAATAGAATAACATGCTTGCAACGTAAGAACAATTGTCAGGAGTGGGGTTCGAACCCACGCTCTCTTTCGAGAACCAGAGCTTAAATCTGGCGCCTTAGACCGCTCGGCCATCCTGACTCCTGAACCAAGAAACACGAGTGAGATGAAAGGATACTTTGTGATTGCTTCCAACAACTACTCTTTTCTTATACCTTTGCTCTTAAAAAATTAAATTAACGAATGAAATTCAGGAGTGGGGTTCGAACACGCTCTCTTTAAGAGAATCGTTCTGTTAGTAAATCGCAATTTAAGAATCAAAAATAGAATAACATGCTTGCAACGCAATTTAAGAACAATTGTCAGGATTGTGGGGTTCGAACCCACGCTCTCTTTCGAGAACCAGAGCTTAAATCTGGCGCCTTAGACCGCTCGGCCATCCTGACTCCTGAACCAAGAAACACGAGTGAGATGAAAGGATACTTTGTGATTGCTTCCAACAACTACTCTTTTCTTATACCTTTGCTCTTAAAAAATTAAATTAACGAATGAAATTCTAAGAGAATCGTTCTGTTAGTAAATCGCAATTTAAGAATCAAAAATAGAATAACATGCTTGCAACGTAAGAACAATTGTCAGGAGTGGGGTTCGAACCCACGCTCTCTTTCGAGAACCAGAGCTTAAATCTGGCGCCTTAGACCGCTCGGCCATCCTGACTCCTGAACCAAGAAACACGAGTGAGATGAAAGGATACTTTGTGATTGCTTCCAACAACTACTCTTTTCTTATACCTTTGCTCTTAAAAAAATTAAATTAACGAATGAAATTCTAAGAGAATCGTTCTGTTAGTAAATCGCAATTTAAGAATCAAAAATAGAATAACATGCTTGCAACGTAAGAACAATTGTCAGGAGTGGGGTTCGAACCCACGCTCTCTTTCGAGAACCAGAGCTTAAATCTGGCGCCTTAGACCGCTCGGCCATCCTGACTCCTGAACCAAGAAACACGAGTGAGATGAAAGGATACTTTGTGATTGCTTCCAACAACTACTCTTTTCTTATACCTTTGCTCTTAAAAAAATTAAACTTACGAATGAAATTCTAAGAGAATCGTTCTGTTAGTAAATCGCAATTTAAGAATCAAAAATAGAATAACATGCTTGCAACGTAAGAACAATTGTCAGGAGTGGGGTTCGAACCCACGCTCTCTTTCGAGAACCAGAGCTTAAATCTGGCGCCTTAGACCGCTCGGCCATCCTGACTCCTGAACCAAGAAACACGAGTGAGATGAAAGGATACTTTGTGATTGCTTCCAACAACTACTCTTTTCTTATACCTTTGCTCTTAAAAAAATTAAATTAACGAATGAAATTCTAAGAGAATCGTTCTGTTAGTAAATCGCAATTTAAGAATCAAAAATAGAATAACATGCTTGCAACGTAAGAACAATTGTCAGGAGTGGGGTTCGAACCCACGCTCTCTTTCGAGAACCAGAGCTTAAATCTGGCGCCTTAGACCGCTCGGCCATCCTGACTCCTGAACCAAAAACACGAGTGAGATGAAAGGATACTTTGTGATTGCTTCCAACAACTACTCTTTTCTTATACCTTTGCTCTTAAAAAATTAAATTAACGAATGAAATTCTAAGAGAATCGTTCTGTTAGTAAATCGCAATTTAAGAATCAAAAAATAGAATAACATGCTTGCAACGTAAGAACAATTGTCAGGAGTGGGGTTCGAACCCACGCTCTCTTTCGAGAACCAGAGCTTAAATCTGGCGCCTTAGACCGCTCGGCCATCCTGACTCCTGAACCAAGAAACACGAGTGAGATGAAAGGATACTTTGTGATTGCTTCCAACAACTACTCTTTTCTTATACCTTTGCTCTTAAAAAATTAAATTAACGAATGAAATTCTAAGAGAATCGTTCTGTTAGT